TGTGGCAGACAAGTCAAAGATAATTCCCAATGAGTGAAGCACCCCGTTAAATCATCATGTCAACCCCGACAATCGACGAGGTCGGCAGTCAAAAACACTATACCCAAGCATAGAGCGTCCCAACCGGAGGAACCAATAAGCCCGGAGGAAGTCAGAAGGGCGATTGTGGAGTTACCCAGGGAAAAGTCCCAGGGATTAGACAGGAAGGAAAACTCAGATGTTCTGCTCTCGGATCTGACGGAAGGCTTCAATCTGGCACTGCAACAGCAAAAGCTCCCTGAAGGATTCGGCCACGCGTATGTCACTTAAACGGGAAGGAAAACTTCGATATTCTAGTCTTGGCGAACAGAACTGCAAGGGTTCGGGGGGGGGTATGGGGGTGCTGATTGATCGCCGACCAATGGGTGCTGACCAGTGGAACGGTTGGCTGGTCGGCCCACGACCAATCTAGTGGCACCGACAATCGACGTGACTACTACCCAGTAAATCGTAGGGAGAGAGGGAGAAGAGGACAACAAACGAGGGGCTGTGACAAACTGTTTCATCAGAGTTTCACCAACTTATCAGGGTTGAACCCTCTCTTTTTCTACATATATATCGTATACTCTCTCTCTCTCTCTCTCTCTCTCTCTCTCTCTCTCTCTCTCTCTCTCTCTCTCTCTAGGCAGTTCTGTTTGTGACGATATATATATATATTTGTTTAAAGTGAAATATGACATTGTGGCAGACAAGTCAAAGATAATTCCCAATGAGTGAAGCACCCCGTTAAATCATCATGTCAACCCCGACAATCGGCGAGGTTCAACCCTGATAAGTTGGTGAAACTCTGATGAAACAGTTTGTCACCGATTTGAAATCGGGCCTCATCTGGATCGTTGATCTCGAAGATCGACGGCCTAGATGGCACCGATTTCAAATCGTTAGGGGCGGGAACCACCGGCCCCCATTCCCTCCCCCATGCTGAAGATGTGCCCCGATGTCCCCCCTTCCCTGCCTTGCACCACTGTGTCCCCGCCGGCACGACGCGGAACTTCAACACACGACCCCGCCAGCACGACCCCGCCGTCGCCCCCCAACGGCCGCCTCAACAAGGTAAGGGACTTAGTTTGGGGGAGGGAGAGAGAGAGAGAGAGAAAGAGAGAGAGAGATCTTCTTCTTCTTCTTCTTCTTCTTCTTCTTCGTCTTCTTCTTCGTCTTCTTCTTCTTCTTCTTCTCCTTCTTCTTTGCCCCCGTTTCGAGCCCCCCTTCCCGCCGCCCTCCACCAGCCGTCTTCTTCTTTTTCTCCCCCTCCTTCCCTTCTTCTTCTTCCCTTCTTCTTCTTCCCTTTTTCTTCTTCTTCTTCTCGCCCCTCCCATCCCTGCCCGCCATCCCTCACACCATTTCCTCTTTTTTTTTTTTGTGTGTGTCTTGTGCCACATGGGGCCGCGTTTTGGACCTTCCCCCGCGACGGCCATATCCCCCAACTTCGTCTC